GAGGGAAGAATAGATTCCACTAAACACCAGCAAATTCTGGAAGCAAACATCTCACAATTTGTAAAAAAGTTGTAAATAGTATGGGTTCTACAACAGAATAATGATCCTAAATGTGCCTCGAAACCCACCAAGGTCTACCTCAAGAGATACAAGCTGAAGGTTTTGGAATGGCCCTCACAGTCCCCCTGCGCATGCAGGACAGCCCAGGAATATTGCAGAACTAGAAGCCTTTTTTACAAGGAAGAATAGAAGAACTAAACCTTTCAGCTGGCATAAAAAAGCATTTGCAAGCTGTGTCATCTCTATCCCATGACACAATGATGTTTTTATGTTTGCTCAATTTATGAAATAAAACATAACTAAGCATTAATGTTTGAAAATATTATATTGTATGTCCCATAGCTTAGAAAGGCTGTTTTCATCTTCTGAATTTACTAAAATCACCTGAATGGGTCAAGAGGTGCCAACACTTTGGCATTTGCTTCTGTTAAAAAACCCTAACACTCTGAGTGCTGAGTGTTACCATGTCGAAGAGTCCTTCCTCAGTCGGATCCCGGTTCTGCACTGCATTCTCTTCTGCCTCCTCAATGTCTGCCCGGGATGCACTCACCTGAAATATCCCACGCACATTATTACAGACTAGACACACACACGCACGCACACACACACAGCTCTGTTTTCCAGTGTATGTGTACCAATGTTACCAGGAGACATTAGAGACTTTTCTAATACAAACATACAACATACAGTTGTGCTAATAGATTTACATACACCTGGCAGAAGTTGTAAAATATAAGCCATTTTTTGGGAAAAAATGACTGATCATAATGAAACCCTTTCTTTTATTTAAGGATAGTGGTCAAATTAAGCCCTTTATTATGACATAATTGTTTATGCTCTTTTTAAATCACAATGATACCTAAAATCCCCCAATTTAAAACTTTACATACCCTCAAATGTCTGGCCTAATAATATACACACAGGTTTAAATGGCTATTGTGGGTAGGTTTCCACACTTGTGACTTGTTCATCATTATTAGTGTCTGTGTATAAATAGCCAATTAGTTTCTTAGCTCTTGAGAGATCCCTGCACATTTCATGTAAGGCTGCACTGAATTTGCTGGACACTGAACCATGGGGAAAGCAAAAGAACTGTTAAAGGACCTCAGAGAAAAGGTAGTTGAACTTTATAAATCTGGAAAAGAATATAAAAAGTTAAAGAAGTGGAAAATTAGGGGTTCTGTTGACACCAAGACACGTCCAGGCAGACCAACAAAGATTTCAGCCACAACTGCAAGAAAGGATTTGTCGGAATGCAAAGAAAAACCCACAAGCTACTTCTGCTGAAATACAGGCTTTTCTGGAAAAAAATAGTATGTCAGTTTCAAGATAATAAGGAGGTACTTCAACAAAAATGGGCTGCACGGTAGAGTTTCTAGAAAAAAACCTTTACTGCATCAACGCCACAAAACAGCCCGCTGGCAATATGCCAAACAGCACATAGACACGCCTCAAAACCTCTGGAAGAAAGTTATTTGGAGGGATGAAACCAAAATTAAACTTTATGGTCACAACCACAAATGCTATGTTTGGAGAGGAGTCAACAAGGCCTATGATGAAAAGTACACCATCCCTATTGTGAAGCATGGAGATGGATCTCTGATGTTTTGGGGGTGTGTAAGCTACAGTGGCACAGGACATTTAGTTCAAATTGATGGAAAGATACATGCAGCATGTTATCAGAAAATATTGGAGGACAATTTAAATTCATCAGCCTGAGAGCTGCGCATGGGACGCACTTGGACTTTCCAACATGACAATGATCCTAAACACAAGGCCAAGTCAGCCCTCCAGTGGTTCCAGCAGAAGAAAGTGAAGGTTCTGGAGTGGCCATCACAGTCTCCTGACCTCAGTATCATTGAGCCACTTCTGGGGAGATCTCAAACGTGCAGTTCATGCAAGACAACCCAAGAATTTACAGGACCTCGAAGCTTTAAGCCAAGAAGAATGGGCAAAATAAAGGACCTCATCCACAACTATCACAAAAGACTGCAAGCTGTCATTGATGCTAAAGGGGGCCCACACACAGTATTAAGATGTAAGGGTATGTAAACTTTTATACAGGGAGCATCTCAGTATTTTCTTTATTGCTATGTTTTGTTTAATGATTGTGCTATTCTGTGATACCTTTTAGTTTAATTTGAAGCCCACTAAAAATTTTAATAAATGTTTTTGGCTTGCTCACTCATGTTTTCTTTATAGAATGGTACACATTTTACAAATTCTAACAGGGTATGTAAATTTATGAGCACAACTGTACATACAAAATCAATGGCTACTGAAATGCTAAAATAAGACATCTTTAATCCTGAAAATACCTCTTTTATCTCGATATTTTTGTGTCTCAAAAGAGACCATACCAACCTGGAATTGGAATTGTTTGTTTGACCACTTACATCCAGTTTGAGCATCATTCCGATGATCACCTCCAGTACGTCTCGTCGAATTGATGGTATGTACGTGGTCACTCTGAGGAGGTTGTGGACGTAACACTCCTGGAGAGAGAAATCAATCAACAATCGTTAATGAATCACATCAGAATTTATTCATCAGTACTTTTTCTACACCCCAACTACACCTGATGTGCGTTCAGATAGAAGCCAAGGTGTACCAGACAACGTATATAGGTGTATATATACGATTACAGTACATGTGAGTGTAATCATATTTGAAAAGCTGTCATTTCTCCTCTCTTCCGCAGCCTGTTCTGATGAGCGTTACACTGATTTCTGATCAGATATCACTGAAGTGACCACACGTTCTGGGAGGTCACCAATATGCATTCATTCACCCCTTGCTGCTGTTTAAGGGCCCATATATTCCCAGGTCACCTTCAAGTGTGATGTGGTTCAACAATCACAACTGTCCTATGTGGCGTTTGGCTGTCCTGTATGATATAAGCATCGTTGTCTCTTACCAGCGTTCTGGAGGATTTCTGCACGAAGGGGAAGTTCTCTTGCAGAATGGGCACCAGAAAGCGACTTGTGCTGAATGAAGAGCACAAACCTTAGAGTACAGTAAGAAATGCTTGTACTGTATTTTATGAAGAAGAAGATCTACTTTATTAAGTATACCCTAGGGGGTATTGTTCTTTTCTTTGATTCACACACTTCATGCACTTGTGGACATGCAACAGGGTACCTCGGCAGTGCACAGGAAGTGAAACTGGCGCCTCTCCAGCTACCAGTCCACACTCCATATTGTGGTCTGTGGGACTTGAACCGGCGACCCTCCGGTTCCCAAGCCAAGTCCCTACACACTGAGCTACTGCCGCCCCTTTAAATGTGCAGTTACATTGTTTGCAGAATGACCCATACAATACAACCAAAAATACATATTTGGTTACATTTATATGCACCTCTCTCTCATGTACTGTATATACATTTACTGATATCAGAGCGCTGCACTTTATTTTTTGGATATCAGTGAAATGACTGTATGAATCTATTTGGATCCTTGTTAGCTGTCACCAGCTACTCTTCCATTAACTACAGCAGCTTTAAGTAAATAAATAAATCAGTCAAGAGTAAAATATATAATAATAATAATAATAATAATAATAATAATAAACACATATGTACACATCTATGTATTTATGGTATTTTCTGATAAAGAATGATAGATGATTCCACTGAATTGCTCCCAGTTCTGAGTGATTCTCTTCCTTGTCTCCTGCTTATACTTAGTAAAGGTGAACACATGGAGGGATATTTACTAAGCCTGTCACAAATTAGCAAGAGTAAAATATGTACTTTTGATTTTGGGGTGAACTGTCCCTTTAAAGAGACATTACATTTAGGAGGATCTATTGTCAGAAGTGGAATATAATATTCATAGATATGTTTTCCACCATTTTGAACCATTTCCATTTTTCACGGCCACCATAGTTTCTCCTTTGCACTTGGAAAGGGAGGATGAAGCGAGGGAGTTGCCATCTACAACTACACCGCTAGATGCCACTACATCCTACACACTGGACCTTTAAATGCCTGCATGCATACAGCAGGCATTGACTTAAAATATTATGTAGTATATTTGACAAAACAAATTTGTGGAAATAGATGCACTGATCAATCATCTGGTGTGTTTAAGAAAAACATTTGTTATTGGAGATTCAGCACTGGTTCATTTCAGCTTCTGCAGTATACAGCCAAATCTTTAGTTTTGCTGTAAAAACAAGATAAACTGTAAGAATAAAAAGTGACTTACGATGGAACGTATCTGGTGATGAGCTGCAACGCCTGGTGACACTGATTGAAGCTTCTAGGAAGATCTTAACAAACAAAAGGGCTAGTTAAGAGTTCATTCATTTATATTTAACCAGAGAATTTGAGGATGAGGATGTAAGCTATTCTCTAACACCAGTCAGCTTCACATTCTCTCTGCCCCTCTCTCTCCGCCGCCCCAAGCGACAGCAAGAACACCAATTACACACCTTCACATAAAAAACACACTTTCTGATGTTTGAACAGAACTATATGCATATTTCATTGGAAGTAAGACAGATGACACCTACCCTCATCTTCATCATCTGAATCTGAGATATCGACTCCTCCTTCACAGATGGTCACTCTCTCTGGAAACACACACAATCATTTTCCATCAGTCACATTATATGGTCTATGTTCACCTAAACTGAAACACATGATGGCAGTCAGCCAACAGATAACCAACAGTACCACTACTGGAACTTGAATCTTTTATTTGATAAACTTTGGATTATTTCACCACAAGTGGAGGGAACCTACTGGGAGTGAAGTGGGAGACCACCATCTTGAGGCAGGCACACAGGTACACGGTCTGTGCTGAGACCAGGTTGCCTAGGAAGGCCATGTACTCCTCCACCACGGCCTGGCTCCGGCCCACCCACGGAAGCCTCTAGAAACACACAACCAGAGGAGAGTTTCAGCATGCGGTTTGTCTAATGATGAATAATGTTAGTGATTTACCTACACACAGATGTAGACACTATATAGTATTTCAGACGGTTGTCATAAAATGTCTTGTGTTTCATTGTTCAGTGGACCTTCTTTTAATGACAGTACACATTTTTATCTGTGCCTCAATTCCAGTGTTTACCTTTTTAATTCAGGTATTATTTTCAATGCCAAAATGTAATGTCACTGTTCTAGCTCCACATAATACAACATGTGACACAATCAGGGGGTCCCATGCCATGTACTGCACTTTCCAAACCAGTCAGCCAAGCACTCAAGCCAAGTAGCTATACAAACACTACAGATTATTTCCAAATTGATTAATCTGCCAATATTTTTTTTTTTAATGAATTGACTTAGTGTTAACAATGTTAACAATTTTCCCAGAGCCCAAGGTTACATCTTCAAATCAAGGTTCAAGGGAACTGTTGGGTCTCTGTAAATAATGCTATAAGGAGTACGGTCTAATCCTCCTGAGACACTTTTTTATTTGTATTTTTTAATTATCTTATTTTTAATTATATTATTATGAAATCCATGTTATTTCACATCCATTGACAAGTACAAATAGATTTACAATTATTAACAGCAAAATTATACAGAGCTTGTTAAGAATTGGCACTATATAAACAAAGCTGAATAGAACTGAATTGAAAGTGCGGGAGTCGTCATTTAAAATGGAGCTGGTTAATCACTGTACCTGTCTGCTGTACAGGGATTCTTGGCAAAGCTCTGAATCACCAATCGGCCTACTAGACTGCTGTCTCTTGATGGATGTGACTGTGTGTGTGCATGTTTAATTATCATATTTTAGTTTAGATATGTTTAACTGAAGAAAAATAAAATAAGATAAATCATATCTATTTGTTCAATTTACTATCATGTTCAACAAAAAGAAGCAGCAGATTCTCTCACTTAAAAAGCTGGACCAAGAAAAGCTCTGTCATTTTCTCTTGAAAAACGGTTTGTCCACCCACGCAGTTGAATATTAGGACTTTTCCAGGACATTTTCCAGGAGTTTTTCTTGACAATACATGGCAGCACTTGCTAACAAACAGTCACATCATTTATCAGTGGGCCTAGCATTGACATATTAATCTCCAGTTTTCACACAGCTCACCCTACCAGCAGTCGGGTTTCTAATAAAATATGCACCCAGGTTTATGCAGGCGAGTGAGGGGCTAAAATACATCAATAATAATAATTTTAAAAAAAGCTTCTCAGATATGAATATTGTCCTCAAATTGGGCTCTGGGAAACACTGATCAACATGTTTCACCATTTTCTAACTTCATGGACCAAACAACTAATCAATTAATCAATAAAATGATCGACGTATTAACTGATGATGAAAAGCCCTACACTTTCCGCACTCACCAGGACCATATAGATGAGCTGTTCATGGTCCTTTGTTAGCTGGGTCACACAGCTCCGAAACTCTTGTAGCCAGTTGATGATCTGAGCATCCTGTCAGAGAAGAGAGCTCACTGAGGAAGAGCACCACGTGACAAAGCTTGTGGATATTATTACGCAGAATCTCAGGTCACCTCAAACACACTGATGCTTTACTGTACCTTTATGTCAGGGTCAGCCAGTTGATGTTTCAGCAATTCATAGTCACCCGAGTCTCCCTTCAAACCAGAAGAGAAACAGCAAATCATACACGGAATAAGCTGACAACACCTTTACGAAACACAGGAACAACAGGACAACAGGAAAGGCAGGTTTTTTGCATGCACTGAGGTTTTGGGTCATTTTACTTCCATAACATGCCTTCTTTCAGATTAGTGGAAAGAAAACACACAAAATACATGTTTAGGTGTCTATTTTACTGCATTCTGTCTATTTGTCTGTAGATTTCACCAAAAGCTCATTCACATATTTAAATGCACCAAACACTTCCATACACCCAACCTTCCAGTTCTATTCCTATCTATGTTCTGAAGGTTTTTACAGGGGAGTTTGTTATATATATGAATTATAGCCCGATTTATATCACATTTTATTTATTTGCTTTCAAATGGCTGTTGCTGTCAGTATCTTCTTTTTTACTGAGTGATTTCCTAAATTCTCTCTGTCACAAATATGTCAACAAAATGAAACGACAATTTTGAACCTGGCATTATGCAATGTTAATTTTTCTGTTTTTGGAAATGTATGCTAATTAGTGCATTTTTAATTATATGGACCAGTTGCATATGTGAGCATAGAATTTCAGAAAAACTATAAAAAGTGTTGTGATCCAAGGATACCCCTAAATATGAACTTGTTCAATTGAAGTGTTTAACTGAAACACAAAGGAACGTGTTGGGCCCAGG